CAGGCAACAGCCCCTGCTGCCAGACTGCTGCAGTGGGTAGAGGGTAGTGTCCCCAGGTACCAATTGGCTGGGCCCCAGAAGCTCCTGAGAGCTAACAGCCCTGAGCTACTTGCCAGGGCGGCTTTTTATACTGCTGGGGACAGCACAGGTGCTGGAGGAAAGGCACTCCCCACCCTGTTCTATGTTATTACCTGATAGGTCTCGGGAACCCCACCCTGTATCTAGGGTGGCGAGACTACCTCCTTTATCGGGTCCTCAGCCTTGTCCTCCCCAAAGTAGTTCCGCCCGGGACCCAGTCCTTCTGACTTTTATACCTTTCCTCCCGTTAACAATCTCTCCCAGAAGGGGAGGTTCACTTTTAGCCTTACTGCCTTTTCTGGGATTAGAGTCAAGCCATTATGTCATTTTGCAAAGCTGTCATTTCTAAGTAAAAAATTGTTATCTTTGCATTCCTTTTAGCCCGGGACTCTCCAGGACCGTTGGTCGGGCAAGAGCAGTCCCCCTTTTTTTTTCCTGCACATCAGCAAACAGCAGCAGATGCATTAGGTCATTATCCTGTGGCCTCTGGGTTCTGCGTAAGCATACGCAGAACAGGTAAGCATACACGTAAGAAAGCATAAAACAACAATACCCAGTAAAATGATAACTATTGGGTGCAATGCGAAGTTCATTATTCCCATTCAAGTGGGGTATGACCCAGGAAAATATCGTACTAATGATGTCCTGATACTGACTCCAATTCTGCTGTTAACTTTAAAAGTTTTTCCTTTTGATGTATTATATGCAAGCTTGCCTGCTTCTCCTTATTCAAAGCAGTAGCATAGCTGTTAATTATCTCCTCTAATTCCCCCAAGTGCTGGTAGACAGCTTCCCAAGAAGAGCCTAATGACATTGTCTAATTCACTGGGAAGATTTTTGCTAAGGCTATGAATAGGGACTAGGTAGGTTGTGCATAAATATGCCCTCCACTTTCTACAGCGGTTGCATTACAATATTCTCTAACAGGGGCCCAGGACACATTCTCGTCATTCCAGGTAACCGGGGTCATTGAAGCGATGCATAGACACCTGATGGCATTGGTAACTACTACTGTAGTTTCATTAAAGATTCTATCTAAGACACAATCTCCTACACTTCCTTGGTGTAAGCGACAGGGGTCCATCAGGAAGTTTTCACGGTAGCACTTCCACTCATGCCATCCCCATTGCTCACGCCCTCTAGGGTTTAAGAGTTCTCCGGACTGAGTCACCCATTTGGCAGGGGACCTGGGGACTTAAATTCTCCTCGCCAATACTATAGGGGTTGGGACATACTCATAAAGGGGCCAGGTTTTGGTTTTCACTCCTACTGATCTCACATGAATATACCTCCTCAAGGGTGTTTTTATCCCATAGGAGATAACTTTCACAAAAAGGGGTTTGCATTCTGGGCACTATTCTGTATAGGAGTTGGATATGACTGCTGGATCTCTGGACTTGATCCAAAGCGCTTGTCTCTCATATTGGTGTAATACAAAGGTTTGCATAGTTATACAAGATATGGTAGAACTTGTCTCACTTGCGAGGTCCCACATCCCTTCTAACACTGAATGCATAATGATATGTAGTTGTCTGAGTGGCTGCACTGTTACTGTTATGGTCTTAACATGGTTCTCCTAGTATTCTGTGTTAGCCACTATTTGACTCTCTAATGCCTGTCAGGTGAGTTGTCTCATCCTAGCAAGCTTATTCCTTACAACTTCTTTATCCATTTGATTAAGTGCCACTCTGACACTCCTTAAGAAACCCAGGACAGTTGCTGCATCTCTGCAGAATCTCCTATGCAATCCAGGATTCCCTTGCCAAGTGGACAGGATAGGCTCTGTCTATTTGCTGCACCACGGATGTACCCAGGTGACATTAATCTCCCACTGCAGGACTACAAACTTTTCTAAGAACAGTGAAGGAAACACCACAAAGGTTTCTGGGACTCTAGCCCCCATAATTATGGGAATCTTTTCTGGGTCAGTGGGACCTACCAAAATCTAGAATGAGATTGTCTCTCCATTTCGCAACCCCTCTCTCTGCCCTGCATTTAGCAGATTTCCAGGAGTTGTGAAAGGGGAAATATTCGGCCCATCTTTACATAAGGTCTCCCATACCTCTGCAGGGATGGGATGCCTTCCGGGCTCACAATCTGCTATCGATCCCGCGATACTGGAAAACACTAGCACAAAGTCTATTCAGAGTCCATCACGTACAGCATGCTCATAAGTGCCATCTGCATAATCATGAGTGCTTTCTGCTCCAGTGGGCCAAAACTCTTCAACCTCCGTGATATAGTCATCATCATGGGCTAATAAAGACCAGTTGCTAGCCGGGGTGACAGTCACCTTGTAATGGAACGTAATGTTTTCCTTAGGGTCCGATATATGCGGTGGGTAGTTCCCCACAACTGCACTCTTTTTGCTCTTGTGGTGTTGATCCACGCACACTAATGTGCTGCATATGGGCTACGGGTAGTGTCTGCCAGCTGCTAGCTTTGGAGATCACTGGAATTCCAGGCGTGAAGTAGGAGCACTTCAGACACCTACCCATGGCGAGCCATGGAGGGGCAAGAAGTATTGGGCCATGTAGCCTTTAGCGGCAGCACCTGGGTGGTTGATTTCCAATAGCCAGGGTAGAAAAAGGCCCCACAAGTCCAAACTAGTCCTATCAGCAGCAGTATCCCAGCTGTCATGGTGCTTCCTGGAAAACAGCTGTTTGATTAGCAGGAATCCAATATTTGCTGGTGGGGGTTCTTACCAACACCGTATTACTCTGCTCCCATGCCAAGACCAAGCCTTGCTCTCTTCTTTGTCTGGGCCGGGAGGTAAACTTCACTTTCACCCCTAATGGAGGTCGGAGGGAGCAGTTCTGAACTTCTGTTTCAGACCCGACTCCGCCTCCTCCTCCCACCGAAACTTAGGGGGCTGTCCCATCATCTGGACGAAAGGGCTGGTTCCTCATTCCCCTCCGCGTGTCCGCGAGGCCCGTAATGCCAAAGGAATTTGTCGGACCCATCCCTTTCTAAAAACCTCTTGCGCAATTTTCAATTTTCTTTTTATCTCCTGGTTCAGACATTCTACTTTTCCCTGGCCTTGTGGATGATAAGGGATGCCGAACTGATGTTCTACCTTTGCCTTTTTGCACCATTGTCCCACTACTGTGTTTTTAAAATGGGACCCATTGTCCGTCTTCAAACAGCATGGTTTCTCAAAATGGGCTTCTATCTCAAGGCGTGAGCTACCATCTCCCTGGTGGCCTCTGTGGTAGGCCATACTTCTGGTTAGCCTGTGGCTACATCTACTGCCACTAATATATATCTTTTTCCTTCACTCATTTTTAAAGGTCTTATAAAATCCATCTGCCACTCCTCCCCTGGCTCTAAAACCTGAACATCTATCTGCCCTTTCCCCGGGTATAGGGACCACCAATGAGTGCTGCAGGCTGGACATTCCTCTAGGGCTTGTTGTACTTCCAACTTTGTAGCCCTCCCACCCTCTTGTCGGAGTCTCCTCCACATCCCTTTTCCCCCCTCGTGGAAATGCATAGGCTGCCCATGCCATCTCCAGAGAGCTGATGCAGGAGGGGTGAGTCAGTGAGTCCGCCCTAGCATTTGCAAGGGCTTCAGGAGAACCATCCTTTTGATGGTCCGCCACATGTTGGATGGCCACTTTAATCTGGCTACTCATCTCTTAGATATGTTGCCAAATTTCCATTCCCCAAACAGGTCTGTCTTTCAGGTGCTATACAGCCTTTTCCCAATAGGGGATCTATTCGGTGGCCCCTTTGGTACATACCCAACTATCTGTATACACTCTTACTTCCTCTCAACCTTTGCTGATCCCATGAACAATCACTTCTTCTACTGCCTTCAGTTCAGCTAGTTGGGCACTCCTTTTTACTTCACCTTTCCCATATTCTTCTGAGGAGGGGCAGTACTAAGCCTAAGTTGCCGTTGGACCACTTGCCGCTCCATCAGTAAATAGAGCATGAGGATCGGCGCAGTCAAAGCTGTTGGCACAGGTTGTGGGGCTTATGGCTTCCACCTCTATGGGGGTCTTTAACCATGGGAGCACAGGATTCTTCAACATTCTCCCTGCCTCCTAATGTGGGTACCCGACCAGCTGTAAACTCCACTTTAGCCACCAGCTTTGGTGAGGAGACCCTGCGGGCAGGCCTTTCTTTAAGGCAGTCAAGATCCTGGGCTGTGCTCGAATCTTCAAAGGGGCATCTCCCACTAGCCTCTCTCCCTTTTCAAGCCCCAAAACCACTGCCAACATTTCCTTTTGCAATGGTTCGTAGCAAGTCTCTGTATTGGATAGCGCTTGGCTCCAAGCCCCCAACAACTCCCAAATTTCCCATCCTTGTTGGCTTCACTGGTATAACACGGCAGTGATGGTGTCCCCCCGAACTCCTGCCTTCAAATACTTAGGCATGCTGGGGTCCGGAGAGAGTAGGGGTGGGCTTTCTAATATAGCTTGCAGCATCTCTTGGCAAAGTCCTTCTTCTCCCTCTCCCCATGCCCACGGGTCACTTTTGACCTTCAGCGCCCGATAGAGCGGGCACGCCAGGGCTGCAAAGTCAGGTACCGCTGCCTAACACCATCCCATTAACCCCAATTGGGACTGTAGCTCCTTTTGGGTGCGGGGTGGGGGAAGTTGGGTTAATGCCTCTTTGGTCTGTTCTAGGATTTTCAAACCTCGTGCATCTGATTGCATACTCAGGTACTTTACTGAGCGTTGCACCCATTGGACCTTCCTTTTATCCACCTGAAACCCTGCCGCTCCTAAAGTTTGTAGTACTTGGTGGGAGGTATTAGCACACTCCCCAGGAGTGTTTGCCTAAATTAATATGTCATCCACATAGCTCTGAACCCGCAGCTGGGAATCAAATGCCTTACGTACCTGTTGGTGTGCTAATATTGGTGAATTGCACCAGCCCTGGGGCAGGTGCAATGGCCAATACTGTTTTCCTCTGAACATGAAAGCGAATATATTTCAGTCGCTTTCCCGCACTGGAATTGCCCAGAAACAGTTTGAGATGTCAATTACAGTAAAATGGGAAGCGCCTGCTTTCTGGGCTGCATCCTACATCTCAAGAAGGGTGCTGACCACCAGGCTTAATTTTTTTGTCTTTTTATTTACTTCCCAATAGTCTATTACCATTCTCCATTTTCCACTAGCCTTTCGCATGGGCCATAAGGAGGGGGAGTTCCACTGGAAAATAGTGGGCTTCACCAGTCCGGCCTGCAATAGTCCTTGAACCATTTCACTCGCACCTTTTTCAGCTTTGGGTGTCAAGGGATAGGGGCGCACAAAACGTGGCTCTGCTCTTTTTTCCAATTCAATTTGTATTTCATCTTTGTTGTTTCCCACATCTCACTCTGAGCGGACCCATGGTCCGTCCTTTGGCATGGGGACTTCCTTCTCTAGGGCCATCACTCTCTGGTAGGGCCCATCTATAATACAGTGGCTCGGGACATTGGTTCCTAATATCCATAGCAGGTGTCAGGTAGCAGTCACTACCGTGGGGACCTCCTGCTCCCCTAATTTTACTATACCTTCAATCTCT